GTACTTATATACCAGTACTTATACACCAGTACTTATACACCAGTACTTACCAGTACTTATACACCAGTACTTATACACCAGTACTTATATACCAGTACTTATACACCAGTACTTATACACCAGTACTTATATACCAGTACTTATATACCAGTACTTATACACCAGTACTTATACACCAGTACTTATACACCAGTACTTATACACCAGTACTTATATACCAGTACTTATACACCAGTACTTATACACCAGTACTTATACACCAGTACTTATATACCAGTACTTATACACCAGTACTTATACACCAGTACTTATATACCAGTATTTATACACCAGTACTTATACACCAGTACTTATACACCAGTACTTATACACCAGTACTTACACCTCTAATTATCTCTGGTACATGTGTGTTAGTTCCCTAGAATCCATAATACACTCATGGACAAATGAAAATTGTACATTTTAGCATGTATATCGGGATTGAGATAATAAGTCTGAAAGATATTACAGTGACCTTTATTGAAGACATGCGAGATAACCAATATACACTCATGGACAGAACTTAAGGAAGTTGTACCTTTTAGCATGTATATATGTATACTTATACACCAGTACTTATACACCAGTACTTATACACCAGTACTTATACACCAGTACTTATATACCAGTACTTATACACCAGTACTTATATACCAGTACTTATACACCAGTACTTATACACCAGTACTTATACACCAGTACTTATATACCAGTACTTATATACCAGTACTTATACACCAGTACTTATACACCAGTACTTATACACCAGTACTTATATACCAGTACTTATATACCAGTACTTATACACCAGTACTTATACACCAGTACTTATATACCAGTACTTATACACCAGTACTTATATACCAGAACTTATACACCAGTACTTATACACCAGTACTTATACACCAGAACTTATACACCAGTACTTATACACCAGTACTTATACACCAGTACTTATATACCAGTACTTATACACCAGTACTTATACACCAGTACTTATATACCAGTACTTATATACCAGTACTTATACACCAGTACTTATACACCAGTACTTATACACCAGTACTTATACACCAGTACTTATATACCAGTACTTATACACCAGTACTTATACACCAGTACTTATACACCAGTACTTATATACCAGTACTTATACACCAGTACTTATACACCAGTACTTATACACCAGTACTTATACACCAGTACTTATATACCAGTACTTATACACCAGTACTTATACACCAGTACTTAAATACCAGTACTTATACACCAGTACTTATACACCAGTACTTATACACCAGTACTTATATACCAGTACTTATACACCAGTACTTATATACCAGTACTTATATACCAGTACTTATACACCAGTACTTATATACCAGTACTTATACACCAGTACTTATATACCAGTACTTATACACCAGTACTTATACACCAGTACTTATATACCAGTACTTATATACCAGTACTTATACACCAGTACTTATACACCAGTACTTATATACCAGTACTTATATACCAGTACTTATACACCAGTACTTATACACCAGTACTTATACACCAGTACTTATACACCAGTACTTATATACCAGTACTTATACACCAGTACTTATACACCAGTACTTATATACCAGTATTTATACACCAGTACTTATACACCAGTACTTATACACCAGTACTTATACACCAGTACTTACACCTCTAATTATCTCTGGTACATGTGTGTTAGTTCCCTAGAATCCATAATACACTCATGGACAAATGAAAATTGTACATTTTAGCATTTATATCGGGATTGAGATAATAAGTCTGAAAGATATTACAGTGACCTTTATTGAAGACATGCGAGATAACCAATATACACTCATGGACAGAACTTAAGGAAGTTGTACCTTTTAGCATGTATATATATACTTATACACCAGTACTTATACACCAGTACTTATACACCAGTACTTATACACCAGTATTTATATACCAGTACTTATATACCAGTACTTATACACCAGTACTTATACACCAGTACTTATATACCAGTACTTATACACCAGTACTTATACACCAGTACTTATACACCAGTACTTATATACCAGTACTTATATACCAGAACTTATATACCAGTACTTATACACCAGTACTTATATACCAGTACTTATACACCAGTACTTATACACCAGTACTTATACACCAGTACTTATATACCAGTACTTATACACCAGTACTTATATACCAGTACTTATACACCAGTACTTATATACCAGTACTTATACACCAGTACTTATATACCAGTACTTATACACCAGTACTTATACACCAGTACTTATATACCAGTACTTATACACCAGTACTTATATACCAGTACTTATACACCAGTACTTATACACCAGTACTTATACACCAGTACTTATATACCAGTTCTTATATACCAGTACTTATACACCAGTACTTATACACCAGTACTTATATACCAGTACTTATACACCAGTACTTATACACCAGTACTTATACACCAGTACTTATATACCAGTATTTATACACCAGTACTTATACACCAGTACTTATAAACCAGTACTTATACACCAGTACTTATACACCAGTACTTATACACCAGTACTTATATACCAGTACTTATACACCAGTACTTATATACCAGTACTTATACACCAGTACTTATACACCAGTACTTATATACCAGTACTTATACACCAGTACTTATACACCAGTACTTATACACCAGTACGTATATACCAGTACGTATACACCAGTACTTATATACCAGTACTTATACACCAGTACTTATATACCAGTACTTATACACCAGTACTTATATACCAGTACTTATACACCAGTACTTATATACCAGTACTTATACACCAGTACTTATATACCAGTACTTATACACCAGTACTTATACATCAGTACTTATACACCAGTACTTATACACCAGTACTTATATACCAGTACTTATACACCAGTACTTATATACCAGTACTTATATACCAGTACTTATACACCAGTACTTATATACCAGTACTTATACACCAGTACTTATACACCAGTACTTATACACCAGTACTTATATACCAGTACTTATACACCAGTACTTATACACCAGTACTTATACACCAGTACTTATACACCAGTACTTATATACCAGTACTTATATACCAGTACTTATACACCAGTACTTATACACCAGTACTTATACACCAGTACTTATATACCAGTAATTATACAACAGTACTTATACACCAGTACTTATACACCAGTACTTATACACCAGTACTTATATACCAGTACTTATATACCAGTACTTATACACCAGTACTTATATACCAGTACTTATACACCAGTACTTATACACCAGTACTTATACACCAGTACTTATACACCAGTACTTATATACCAGTACTTATATACCAGTACTTATACACCAGTACTTATACACCAGTACTTATATACCAGTACTTATATACCAGTACTTATACAACAGTACTTATACACCAGTACTTATATACCAGTACTTATACACCAGTACTTATACACCAGTACTTATACACCAGTACTTATATACCAGTACTTATACACCAGTACTTATACACCAGTACTTATATACCAGTATTTATACACCAGTACTTATACACCAGTACTTATACACCAGTACTTACACCTCTAATTATCTCTGGTACATGTGTGTTAGTTCCCTAGAATCCATAATACACTCATGGACATATGAAAATTGTACATTTTAGTATGTATATCGGGATTGAGATAATAACTCTGAAAGATATTACAGTGACCTTTATTGAAGACATGCGAGATAACCAATATACACTCATGGATAATACTTAAGGAAGTTGTACCTTTCAGCATGTATATCGGGATTGAGACAATAACTATGAAAGATATTACAGTGACCTTTATTGAGGACACACGAGATAACCAATATACACTCATGGATAATACTTAAGGAAGTTGTACCTTTTAGCATGTATATCGGGATTGAGACAATAACTATGAAGGATATTACAGTGACCTTTATTGAAGACACACGAGATAACCAATATACACTCATGGACAAAACTTAAGGAAGTTGTACCTTTTAGCATGTATATCGGGATTGAGACAATAACTCTGAAAGATATTACATTGACCTTTATTGAAGACACACGAGATAACCAATATTTAGTTCTTAATTTATTTTTTTTTCTTAACAACCCACTTATTTATATTTCAAAAATATATATACTTTAACTAAAAATATTTAATAAACTAGTTAATCATTGGCGAATCGTGTGCGTGGTCATTTACCGTAATGCCCCATGATACAGAAAATGAGATAAAATTAATTTCATCAACTCAAATATAACTTTGTATATATTATCTTTGGTATGTTTTATTATCATTTTATGTTACTAATTATATAAATACACCTATCCCCCGATTTACACGGTAGATACGTTCCTGAGAAAAACGTGTAAATCGGGGGATAGGTGTACACAGAAATAAAAATAAAATGCATTGACAGGTTAAAATATGTAGTCAGCACATAAGCTCGAGATTCCTCGTGTAATGTGTACACAGCGCATGTGTTCAATCACAGTAGCATTTAGTATAGTGCGATAAAAACAAAAAAAAACTTATTTGGAAAACCGTGTAAAAGCGAAAACGTGTAAAACAAGTACCGTGTAAATCGTGGGATAGGTGTAATTAATAATACAATATAATGTGACTTATGATTATAGAACGAAGTTTGACAATTATACCACAAATGTTTCTTTTGAACGAAAAATCGAAATTTATTTTAAGTAGAAATAACGATTATTTCTAACCTTAGGGATGAAGTATGAAAGGATGAATTATATAATTAGTTATTTCTCAAACGTTTTACAATCATAAGCCGAATCATATTGTATTATAAATTAACTTTATATAATATTTAAAAACGAAAAAATAAGTCCAGGGTAGCCTAGTGGACATGGCATCTGTCCGGTAAGCGTGCGAGTTCGATTCCTATCCCTGGAAATTTTTATTTTTCCGTTATTCATTAATCTTCACAATTCATCCTTTCATACTCCATCCCTAAGGTTAAAAATAGTCGTTATATCTCCTTGAAATAAATTTCGATTTTTCGTTCAAAAGAAACATTTGCGGTAAAACTTGTCAAATTTAGTTTTACTAATTATATGTGTAACGTTTAAATATATCTGTTTTATGTGTTGGTTAACTATTTGAACAGTATAATTTGTTTTACGATGCACTGGCACGCCATCTGTTATGAAAATTAGAAACTATTATAGACACGTATGATTCTTTTTGAAATTAAACAATTTCTACTACCCTTACTGTAATTTAGAAAAATTAATGGGAGGGCCCTTCCATTGTTTAATTTCAAAAAGAATCTTGCGCGTCTAAAATATTTTATAATTTTCATAAATTAATTTGTTATTAAATACGTATATTATATATATTTATTAATAATTTTGTAATATTTGTCAGTAGATAGCCGTGTTTAGGAATTAAGCTTTTAGGAAAGGGGCTGCTGGCATTTATTGAGCGAATCACCCCGGCAGTATTTAGCCAGTTCTGGAAGTGGTAAATTGGAAATCCATTTTCACTCTTTCTCTCTTCACTTCTCCTTCAAACTTTTGCTAATAATAAGGCACATGATTATGGTATCATGAAGTTCGTTACAATGATATCATTGTTATCTTTCTTTAATGTTGATGAGTGTGTGTTTGAATAAATTTTACATGTTGATTTATAATATAGATTTTCCCTGTTTTACACTTTGATTTATAATAGGGTTTTGTTTCTTTTTTCTCCACTCAACAATCATATCAGGGTATCAAGTCTGTAGAGTTTGTTGATGGTGTCTGTGTTGGGGATGAGTCTCTTTTTCTTTCTTATCTCCACTCAACAATCATATCAGGGTATCAAGTCTGTAGAGTTTGTTGATGGAGTCTGTGCTGGGGATAGGTCTCTTCTTCTTTCTTATCTCCACTCAACAATCATATCAGGGTATCAAGTCTGTAGAGCTTGTTGATGGTGTCTGTGCTGGGGATGTGCCTCTTCTTCTTTCTTATCTCCACTCAATCATATCAGGGTATCAAGTCTGTAGAGCTTGTTGATGGTGTCTATGCTGGGGATGTGTCTCTTCTTCTTTCTTATCTCCACTCAACAATCATATCAGGGTATCATGTCTGTAGAGCTTGTTTATGGTGTCTGTGCTGGGGATGTCTCTTCTTCTTTCTTATCTCCACTAAACAATCATATCAGGGTATCGAGTCTGTAGAGCTTGTTGATGGTGTCTGTGCAGGGGATAAGTCTCTTCTTCTTTCTTATCTCCACTCAACATCAAGGTATCAAGTCTGTAGAGCTTGTTGATGGTGTCTGTGCTGAGGATGAGTCTCTTCTTCTTTCTTATCTCCACTCAACAATCATATCAAGGTATCAAGCTTGTAAAGCTTGTTGATGGTGTCTGTGCTGGGAATGAGTCTCTTCTTCTTTCTTATCTCCACTCAACAATCATATCAGGGTATCAAGTCTGTAGAGCTTGTTGATGGTGTCTGTGCTGGGGATAAGTCTCTTCTTCTTTCTTATCTCCACTCAATCATATCAGGGTATCAAGTCTGTAGAGCTTGTTGATGGTGTCTGTGCTAGGGATGAGGCTCTTCTTCTTTCTTATCTCCACTCAACAATCACTTCAGGGTATCAAGCTTGTAGAGCTTGTTGATGGTGTCTGTGCTGGGGATGAGTCTCTTCTTCTTTCTTATCTCCACTCAACATCAGGGTATCAAGTCTGTAGAGCCTGTTAATGGTGTCTGTGCTGGGGATGTGTCTCTTCTTCTTTCTTATCTCCACTCAACAATCATATCAGGGTATCAAGTCTGAAGAGTTTGTTGAAGGTGTCTGTGCTGGGGATAAGTCTCTTCTTCTTTCTTATCTCCACTCAACAATCATATCAGGGTATCAAGTCTGTAGAGCTTGTTGATGTTGTCTGTGCTGGGGATGTGTCTCTTCTTCTTTCTTATCTCCACTCAACAATCATATCAGGGTATCAAGTCTGTAGAGTTTGTTGATGGTGTCTGTGCTGGGGATGAGTCTCTTCTTCTTTCTTATCTCCACTCAACAATCATATCAGGGTATCAAGTCTGTAGAGCTTGTTGATGGTGTCTGTGCTGAGGATGAGTCTCTTCTTCTTTCTTATCTCCACTCAACAATCATATCAAGGTATCAAGCTTGTAAGCTTGTTGATGGTGTCTGCGCTGGGGATGAGTCTCTTCTTCTTTCTTATCTCCGCTCAGCAATCATATCAGGGTATCAAGTCTGTAGAGCTTGTTGATGGTGTCTGCTGGGGATGAGTAGAGCTCATCAATGGATGAGTCAATACAGTCAATAATGTGTTTTGGGGTTGTAGGTTGACACTTAGTACATAGTGGGAAAACCTTGTAACCATTCTGTCATTGTCTTAGATGACTTAAGTCTGGAAATCAGTTGTTCTCTTGGGAGGACAGAATTGTCCCTCCTGCTTTGTACCAGTCATGTGTAGCATAGAAATAGTTAAAATATCAATTAACAGCATACACAGAAATTTGCAAAATCCATTTAAATTGGCCAATCAGTTCGAATGTTCTACAATATTCTAGAACGTTCTAAAAAACATTCAATTCTGGAATGTGTTTTTTTAAAACATTCAGCGTAACAATATTTTAAAATATTAGAAAATAGAGCCATCCATAAATATATCTTTAACTAGCCGAATGACCCGGGCAACGCCCGTGTTTTACCCGATTGAATGTTTTGATTCAAATACTATTTGTTACAATTATAAATTGGCGCCTTAAATAAATGTATATGTTAGTTAATAACTATAGCCTATGTGCTTTATCTGTCTATGTACTGTTGGCTTCCGTAGGCGTCTCTTACTGGGAAAAAGAAAGAGAGGATTCCATTTGGTTATTAACTAATATATGCATTTATTTAAGGAGCGACCCGCTCCAACACAATGGTTACAAAAAAGCGAGTGGGGGGGGCAAAGGTGGCGTGATTGTAGCCGACCAATAGGAGGGCGCCATTCCAAAAAAAAAAGCAAACGTTGACAGAGATGACTGATGAAGAATGACGCTCGTAACTGTATATATAATTGGGAGCTTTCGGGTCTTGTCCTTTCTCAATGTTTAGGCAAAATAAATATATATTTTTAAATTTGTGGTAAGTCATTTATTTAATTTTGTGCCAGTGTTTTACTTATCATTGATGTAACCAACATAAGTTTAAACTTTGCTGGTCCCAAGCCTGGATGAAAAATGAGGAGGGGGAGCACTATTGCTATATTCAATGCATGTTTAAAATGTAAAATGTGCTCTAAATAGTATTACATAGAGCCTTCATAACAAACATATTTAAAATAAACCAATTAAAATATAATAATGCTGTAAAAAAAGACTGCTACAATAATATAAAAGAAATGAAAATAAAAAAAGACACCCACGCTGAGCCTCGAACCTAGGTTTGTTATAAATATTATTTAAAAATTGTTCATGTTAATTTTTATTTTAAAAAGCCTATATTTCAAATAAAATAATATTTTTATAATTTGCTACAATAATATAAAAGAAATGGAAAAAAAAACACCCACGCTGAGCCTCGAACCTAGGTTGTTGGGGTACGAAGCTGTGTACCTAACCTATAGGCTAAGCTTGACGTTACATATACGCTCATGCGAGGCTATTTCAGGCCATACGCCAGCCGCGAGGGGGCGCTGATTGCGAGTGAATTTACGTTTTATTGTAAATAAAAATGCAACGAAAGGTTATTTCTAAAGAGTAATTAGCCAGAAACCATCCCGGTAGTATACTAAACAACTTCCCAAAGTTTCATCACGATCGGTTGAGCGATGTAGAAGATTATCACTTACGAACGGACCAACAAACATTCATTTTTATATACTGTATATAGATTAAAAAAAGACATATTGGTTCAAACTATAATTTATTTTACCAATATTTCAGTTGGCTGAACGCCAAATTTTATCAAGGTGTTATAACATATTTAATGTGTGTCAACAACAAACTCAGCGCCACATAACGTCAATAGAATTACGGTTATATTAACGTTATATGTAAATATAAATAAATATATATATATACATATATATATATACGTAATTAAGATAATTGTATTAAATTAATATTGACGTTATGTGGCGCTGAGTTTGTTGTTGACACACATTAAATATGTTATAATACCTTGATAAAAGTTGGCGTTCAGCCAACTGAAATATTGGTAAATAATTTCTATTTTGATTCAATATATGTCTTTTTATTTGAAGATATATATATGGATTGCTTTATTTTCGAAATTTTATATATTGTTACGTTAAATGTTTTTAAAAAACACATTGCAGAATTGAATGTTTTTTAGAACTTTCTAGAATTATGTAGAATAATTGGAGAATAAATTTATTGGTCAATCTAAAGCGATTGCGCAAGGCTCGGTGCTGGCGGCTTTCTGATTGGCTGACCAACCTTGACCATTCTGGAAAGATCTACTCCGGTATATATAGGGATGGGAAACTCATGCTGAGAAAAAGAAGAACGAAGCTACGTGGTGGACTCCAAGCAAACGCTGCTGTCTCAAGAGGTCGGACTGCTGCTTACCGCCGGTGTACTTCCTGGAAGATTCTAGAAGGTTCTACCAACTTCTGTCTCCTGTTCTGTTCCTGCTTTCCCTCACCGTGCTGCAGTTGGTGAGTTTATAACTGCTGTTCTCTTTGTTGGTGTTTTATCTTTGTATTCTTCTGTAATTATTTTATCGATTAGGCTTAAAAGAGTCGTAAAGATCCTTTGTACCCACGGAAGTTATTCTTTTGTGAAGGTACAACGTAACAATATTAGAAGAAATTGATTATAGCTATCAGATGTCCATCTATTGTAACTTAATTGGTGACTTGATTGGTCTACACTCATGGATAAAACTTAAGGAAGTGGAATACCTTTGATGTCGACGGTCGTCTGTTTTTT